TCAAAGATTAAATTGCACTCCTTTTCACAACGTAAGTTACCTCCTTACTCTAAAATGAAAGGTTTTTAACTGACTATCCGAGCGCTTCCTTTACAAGTTAAATATCCATTCCTTAAGAACATCATAAAACAATTAGGCCTGCTAGAAACGTACATTTTTCGCATTTATTGCTTTAGTCCTATAACCGAGTTCTGTTTATTGATACTTGCGAATCGACTATAATTTTTTTATAGACCCACGCTGGTTGCCTCGGTTGCTCAAACGCGGATCCCTTACAAATCTCCCGGAATGCCCTCCCTTAATTTCATACTTAATTAATGACGAATTGTTAACGCAAATGGACATGTTTAATAGTTAATTTATTGCTTAATTCCGCCATACGAATCAAATAAAAGCTAGGTGAAAAATCATTACCCCGTGATGCTTAAACATGTTCCACCATGCTGAAGTGGTTGTGCAGTGGTTTGGAGGCGATAAGTCCAATTAGGATATCACGTTACCTCAAGTTACTGCGACCTCTCGTCTCCAGACATCCGAAAATTATAAAGAAAATAACGCTCTACAGAAATATAAAGCGCAGAATAGACGTGCTTTATTTCCATCACGGTTTACGGATTTATTTTTTATAATTGCACTCTTTATTAATACAACATTCGCTCCCAACGCGTCCCAACTTCTGAACACATTCTGTTTAGTGACGAAGCCAACCTTTACTCAAACGGGTGTGTAAACAAATAAAACTGTCTGCTACTGGGCGAACGAAAATCCATAAGAGAAACATAAACGTTTTGGACGTTATTGTTATTGTATGGGCTGCCATGTCTAGTGAAGGTATCGTTGAGTCTTATTTTTTATTAAGACCGGCTCGCCCCGAGCACGTACGGTAAACAGTTAAAAGTATTGCAACATGTTAAGGAACTTGTTGACTTCGCAACTGAAAAAAATCGATAAATGCAATAGAAAATCTTTAACAGGTAATAAATATGGACAATAGGTTCACAAGTGGAGTACCCGCTACAATCAATACGTGCAACAATACAAGGGCATAAAGATACACACAAAAATGTACGCTTAAATTAATGTTGAATGACTAACGCACAACCAAAGGCACATTTTATATAAATAATGTCACCTTTATGCTGCTTAAAAAAAGGATAATCGAACTTCAGCAAATCGAAGTAGCTACTGCTGCGGTCCCGGATGATGGCCCCACACTTGCTCAATTTGAGTGTATCTCAATAGAGAGAGCTACTAATTTGTCGAATACTCAAGTGTTAACGATATTGCTTCGGTGCAGATAAGATATCCGGGAAAGGAACTAAAATGGAGAAATCAAACATACGCTGATACGATTAACCTTGCCTACCCCAGTAAGTGGGTTCCCATATAAATAAAATAGAGAATAGATGCTATATTAATCAACTTCGAATTTGCCAGGAACATGTGATATAAACTAACCTATAAATAATGAAAAATATGCTTACTAGACTATGGTCAGCAAAATCCCATTCACGTAAATACGTTTAGATAAATAACTAAATGCCATACCGCTTAGTTCTTTAATAAAAAAAACTCAAACCTTAAATATCGTCTTGCATAAGCAAGACGATATTAACATAACATAAACATAAGTTTTGCATACGGCCAAATTTGTGTTTCTCAATGGCTACGCTTGTATTCAACGGACTTCACACATGTTTAGAAATTTACGCCTTTTTACATTTTCAAACTGAAATATTAAACTAAAAAGCTCAAGTACAGTAATTATTCAGGAAAACCAATTCTCAAATGAGTTCAGTTTCTGACCTTTACTTTTCGCGACATGAATTTAAATGCAATAAATCCGAAACTAGGGGGCGATGCCGCCCCAATTCGGCTAGAATACATTGATCAAGTATTTATAATATTTCGTTTGAAATATTCATGATGAACTTCAATAAGAACAGTGAACTAAATCATTAAACGTTCGCAACCTACACTTAATGTAACAAAGAAGTACTTAGTACATTATTTATGCGCATCTTGAGCATAATACCGTAAGTTACGCGGCGACTTTTGTTAGCCCTCACTCCTCATTATGTAAACTATGTACTGAAATTTCAAAATCGATTACTACTAAGAGAGAAATTATTTAGATTGTAATTTAGTTCTTCGTTCTCTCTGAGGAGCTTTTCAAATTACACACGTAATTCGAACTTATGTTCCTGTTCCTGCCCTTAAGGGGCCTTTGAATAGTTTAATTCAAGAAATATAACTCCAAGGAATTTTTGCCGAAGCTAATGCAAAATGATGGTGTTGTAATCTCGAGAAATTACAGTTCATTTAATCCACTCCAGCTGGGCTAATTATTTTTGTTTTCGGTTAATAAAATTTACTATTCCCTTTTAGCACTCTTGAAGTGCGCATCGTTTATTGGGCGAGAAACTATTAACTCGCTAGTAAATGAAACTGTTTGAAATTTAATGATCAAGTCGCCACCAAAAAAATTGACCCTTAAAGCTAAAGGACGCACGTAAAGCTTAATCCAAGACTTACGTCTATTAATCGTGCTCCAGTAACTGACAATCGGTTTGCATTTATTTACTGCTATCAGGTCAGATTAAAATTGTACCACTTTCAGGAAATTTAAAACACAAAGAAACAGTATTGAAACATCAACATTTTATAACCGCATAAAATTTCTCACTCTTCCTTTTTGGTGTACGTTCAACTTGGTAACGGATATAAATTTTATTTTCTATTATATGGCATCTCTGTGCTTTATGTATGGGATTATAAAGTTCGTAAGTAGGTATTTTAGTTTAATGACAATAACGTTCATTCCGTTTTTGCTGCTGTTTCAACATTAATAGCTGTAAAAGGGTTGAAAAAGTTGTCCCCGATTAAATCTCATCGCGTCATTATGAATTGATGGAGTCCCCTTTTTTTAATTAATTTAATTGAAACCTTTTTTTATTATATATGAACAATAATTGTAAATTTCTTTGTCGTTGTTATCTCTAATTTGAGATAATTTTAGGGTGCTCGCTGTTATTATGAAGTTGTATCAATAATTTTAATAACCACCCAGGGCCACCCACCCTAATAAATTGAGAGGAGGAAATGTTATGCTTTGCTGATAAACTTGTGGCATTTAATAACTATTAATACTGTGAACGTATAAAGATACAATGATGTTCCCGCTAACGCATTCAATTTTTTTCAATTTTTTATTTGTAGCAAATAGTTTCCAAATGGCATCAAAAATTAAATAAGCAATAGTGGTATAATGATTATTATTGATTTTATAAGAAAAATAAATACATTTACAAATTATAGTCACGAAATCATGTGAGCGGACGGAAGTAACAGCAACCTGGGTGTTCTATCGGCGGAACAGCCGCACGAGCGGACGGACGGATGGACTCGAGCACCACCAAGGGTACGGCCTGATCAAAGGCGGTAGCAGCGGATCGATCTCGGAAACCTCGGGCAAACTCATACGGAGTAAACGGTAGTTACAAGAATTCTAAATGGCAAGCCGGGGCCGGCTACTAGTGAATGCTAAAACAAAATTAAAGGCACACGGAAATTTCTCTAAACGGGTTCAGTAAATCATCGGATTCGGTAGCGGTATCTACGGGAAAGCTAATGCAGGGATGCGAAACAGTAACCCCCCCTTATAATTTAAGAAAGGGTAAGTATCAAACAGCTTACCTTGCAATTAAACGGAGCGCTAGAAATTATTGTGCAAGAAAAAGCAAACGCTATAGAAAAAACTTCTAAACCTCTCGCCAGGAAAAATTGCCGGTCACAGAAGACCTGATCCCGGTCTACAATCTGTGTTTTTCTAAAGATGTGAGCGACTTCCGGGATAGGATCGTGCCCATGTTGAACAAAAAGACTTTTCGTTCAACAATGGCACGATCCTATTCCGGAAATCGTTCGCATCTTAAAAAAAACATAGATTGTAAATTGACACAAGGTGTGCTGTGACCGCCAATCTTTCCTGGCGAGAGTTATATAATTTATTTCTTGGCTTATGGTCATCATAAAAATCAGCGACAACTTATAAACATCTGGAAAAAATTAGAGCGCATCCAGGAACCCCTCACACTACTGATTTTGATAACGGTTACTGCAATACATTTTATTTAGCTACTGCTAATTTCACCTACTAAATTGCCCGGATTGAGATTTCTAAAGTTGGTAGTTCAGTAAGGCTCATTGGCATAAAGGTCCCTTATGAACCTAACAAGAGCTTTCGGAAACAACAAAGACAATTGAAATATCTTGACGGGAACGGTTACAAACAGCGAATTAATTATAATTTTATCTACGGTAACAGCCGCCGAAACAAAACTCTAAGAATTAAATCATATACTTTCGGCACGACACTTTACGTAACGAACGTCCAATTTGTAACGCTTGTAGATGCCGGGTGTTCATCTATATAGTAACGGCTGCTTCGTTACAATTATAGGTATTGCCTGATTAGAGGGTGCTTGGTGTCATTTGGAGCGCGCTTAATTATCATGCTGTTTGAGCCGAGATCCAGTTTTTTGACATGAGGGAACCGAGAAGTTAATTATAGAAAGGTTTAATATTGAGATCGTACGAGTTCGTTGTTAGCTAGAAAGTCCAGATGTCTCTTCGCGAAATAACGAATTTCATAGATTATCCGCCAGTGATCGATCGCCGTGAATTATCTAAGGTTTCCGAAACCATTCCGTTGATCTTGACCAGGGTCGCAACTTCTGATACCGACTCTACCGTACGTTCCAAAAGTTATTCAAAATTAGATTCATGTAACTGTAATTAATATATTTTTCTAATTAAAACATGTATCTTTTGAACCAGCTAATTTTTACCATTTTATTCTAAGTAACCATTTTGCGCGGACATCGCCGCAGCGTTCTTTGAATTCCAGCGAGAAAATACAATTTTTTGTTTCGTTTGAATGTAAATCTAATCAAGAAGGATTGCCTAGCCAAGTTGAAGGACTAAATTTTAAGATTATAATGGGTGTGTGAAATATAATAATAAATCACTCTCGATATTTAAAATTTTAAATCAAGGGGATAGTAAGTTACTTTTTAAAAAAAGGTAAAGTAGCTACATAATCAACGCGCAGCTTTAGTACCGATAACCTAACACATAATCTTTTGAATGAACGCTTAATCCTCATTTTTTCCAATTTTACAAATACGCCTTCAAAATGCGTCTAATCGGTTCCAACGACCGTCTTTATTCGTTCTACCAATAGATCTCATCTCCTTTCACCAATCCCATTGTTAGAAAATCAATTTGTTGGAAAGCACTGTTACCGAAACCTATTGAGTGAGCGGTTCGCATGCCCTAAGTGCTAGCGGTCACCTACCACCCATTAAGTTTGACTTTATGGCGCGACAGACTGGCGCTACTAACGTTTCTCACGCAGTTAACCGCACAGTGCCGTATCTGGAAACTATTGACCCAACAAACAATATTGCGATAACATTTTTGAGAAACTTACCAATACTAGCCAATACAACAAATCGCGCAACCCTAAAAAATTTAATTACAGACCTTTAATTGGTGAGAATCACCCTTACAACCACTTCGACTATTAAAATCGGACATACGTCCATGTGTCTTACGCACTTCTAGAAATTAAAAAATAATTTAAATGAAATAAAGTGGGCTCCCGTTACAAATGCCCAAGCCCATAACCTGATTTTATTAAAACACAAGTTTGTTGAATAATTTAAGTCTACAAAATGTTAATACTCAAGCTTTGAGCAACCGTGCAAAAATAAATCTAATTTATTACAGATCGCGCTTTATACTTCCCCAAATCGAAACAATTTCCTGATTCAAATTGATCACAGTTGAGAATAAAACATATCTACTAAAGAAAAATCAGAAAAGTAAATCACAACTCGTTAAAACCCTCGCAGAATATTGGATCGAAACCCTGGGTCGGTTCAAATGCGCCCGTTAACACTTTCTTATATTAAACGTTCCTTTTTATTTCCTATTTTGCGCGCTGAGCTTTTACAGGAAGTTATATTGCGGTACCCAATTACAATTCTTATAACAGCGAAACGAATAAAACTACACCATTCCGAAATATTACATTGAAGTAACATAGTAAACCGATGTATATCGCCTTGAATTTCTCAATCTCCCCCGTTATTTCATTTTCCCGTTTCGAAGCTTAACTTTATGTTTCTTTTCAGTGGACAGCACCTCCGAGTTTGATGCCGTGAGGGCGTACCTGAAGGAATTGGATATTACCAACAACGTGTGGATTGGCCTGTCGAAAAATAATGAAAGGGGACACTTCATGTGGACGTAAATATTTAGTTTTAATTATGTAGATTTACTTGCACTAGTTTCAAGCTTCACGGCGTTTCGATAGAACAAAAAGAATATTTGATAATTACGTTGGTTAAAAGAAGTAAATTATCCTCAAACAAAAATGCGATCATTTTACGCTAGAATGGGTTGTAATCTCTTGAATGTTTTAGGGACTTCCGACCTTTAACTAATGATGGGCACTGGCAGGAAGCCATTCCCATAGGAAGTAACCCTTTGTGTGCAGCTACAGATCCAGCTGCTGATTTCCGGTGGCATGCATTACCCTGCGGAGGTCCTGAAGTGGCATCCTTCATTTGTGAACTTCCAGGTAATTCGATACCGACATTCATTTATAAATCCTGTCTCATTTATTTTAATTGCCCATAGTGGATCGAGATCTTTGCGAGAGCTTTCTTCTTAAATTATGAAATAGAACTTTTTTTATAATTGTATCCTCTCGGCTAACCTAATTGTTTAAAACATGTGTTAAATAGGCCACTTGAACTATGCCTTTATATTAATATAATTAAGCATAAAAGAGACAATTGAAGAGGAGATATCAGACTAACTTTGTCATCAATTTTGTTTACTATCGACATTTTTAACTATTGTGAATTATACTTATTATCGTTCTCTTATTAACAAAATAAACAAAAATAGTCAAGAAAATACAATGTTTTGAAGGAAAAGATGGAGTTAACGAAAACATATTGAGCACATTTTTTCTGAAAGGGCAAATAACTATTTTCAAGCTTTCAGTTGGACCAGCAAACAAATATGAGGCTAAATTAAAAGAACTAAATTCGTCGTTCACAAAGGGATACCTTGTTGACGACCATTTTGTATCCATCTGGAGTTAGTGTGGAAATTTAACAAAACTGCAAGTTAGTAGTACACAAGGGTGAATTTTGAGTAAAATATTTGGAACGTACAAGACAACTAACGCCATAAATGTAATTTCAAGAATTTTGTCAATAAATATAACAATTAAACAAAAAATACAAATTAATCAGATGGGAAAGTACAAAAATGTAATGTTGAGTAACGAGTAAATATTCGATTTTGGACATCCGACCAAAGCCTTCAAAATTAATAAATCAAAGATAACTTTCAAAGGAAGAATGGAAAAACTCGAGTGAAGGGAGGGAAACTTTTAACTACTTGCCGGATATTAAAGAAGGCCTGAAATGGAAGAATTGGATGGAAAATAAGGGTACTAAGAAGTTTTAACAAATCACAGACTTGGCAATGTCTATTCGGTTCCTAGACGTTGTACTGACCGAATTTTTTCGACACCAGGATTACTGTTATTTCGGAATGGCTTCAAATACACGAATTTCATCTGAAGTGTATTTGTAAGATTTGCATTACACTCAAGAAGTATTTCTTGCACTAAATTATACAATTGAGTCGGATTTGCGTTCGGTGATAAACAAACACCGCATCTGTTTTACCCAAGATGCATTTTACAGGCTTCTAAAAAGGATGCAGCTCTAAAAGCTTTACTATAAAAGGAATTTTCCAAGCTTCTTAAGTAAAATATACGCCGTTGTGTATTTTGTTTTCGCAAATAGCTCGTTGAGAACATTACCAAACCCGTACAAGTTTAAACCGGTTCAAATATTATTGCGTTTGCGTAAATATTATATCAATATGTTTTATATTTGTTGGCCCTCTAGTCATACCACTCTGTTTATAATTATCGCGTTTGTAAATACTCAGACACAGAGGTTCCGGACCCCAGTTTTAATTAAATACATCAAAATGGGGGTTATCTGAATTATTATTTACTAAATAAATATTTATTGGGTGATCATATCCACTTAATAGACAATTTTGTGGAGCTTCTTATGAGTGCTGCAATATAAAATTGAATCAATTAAATCGCCAGTAGTTTTTATAATTGGGAAAGAATTTCCCCTTCCAATTTATAACAGAACAAAAGTGGAGATTTAATTAATTATTGAGGGACTACGAGAAATAACGACTCGTCCAATGTAATTTTTTGTGCCAAACATTTTAAGTAAAATGTGAGGTCTGGAAAAAATAATCAATTAAAGCTGTTCTTAGAGTCAATAGAAATTTTTACTATCCGTATGGGATTAAGGTCATTAGGCGGCAAACGTACAAAAAGTGTTGACCAAAGTAGGTAGTAGGTATCCGCTGCTGCATCTTATAGTAAATCCTCTGCACAATTTATACTTGTAAAGCACGAGGCAGCTGCGGGTTTCATTTTTTTCCAGTTTTTCTGCCATTTCAATTCCCGTATTGCCTTGGGATGATAGAATTCTGTTGCGCATCTAATGATCGCTTACAGTTTAGGCTGTAAAATCGTGCAGCGCTTTCCCATGTTTGCGTATTTTTACCGTTTTGGGTTCGTGCTGTACCATTCAGGCCCTGTTCCTTCCGAAAACTTGAAATCGTCTGTATAGAAGATGACGTTCTTGTTTATCGGTATCAGAATCTTTCTAATTTGTAGTTCGTATTGTAAATTGGGTATCAATTTTTGAAATTTGCAACGATCTTCGGTAGTTCGCACAATATCGGGAGCTTTAAATTAAACTGTATGATTGGTTAAATCCAAAAATAGAATTTAATTAATTACAAAGAAAATATACATTCACAATCAATTACTACTCCAACTCAAACGGATGCTGAGGGCACGGGACGGTGGACTCTCCAAATCAAACGGAAATTAACGGAACGGGACGGTATACTCGTGCGCCACCAGAGGAATGCGGCCTTGCCGCTAGATAGGAATTCGGAGCGGTTGCGAAACGGTTGCCACAGATAAAACTTCAGCGAATCGGTCTCCAAAGATCTGGGGACAGCGGCGGTCGGCTTCTGTCCAATGATTTAAAAACAAAATTACGGCACAGGGCAACAAATTGTTAAGCGCAACGGAAGCACAAATCAAATAACGGTATCTACCGGGAAACAAAATGTAGGAAAGCAGAACAGCAAACGCTTGCCTTTAAATTTTAATTCGGTCTCAAAAGGTATCGCAAATACAGCACAAAATGCCAAAAACATCACCCTAAATCGTGCTATTACCTTATATAAACTTCCCAAAACATGTGGAAATGGATCTCGGATTTCCCAGCCAGGCGGCGTATTCGGTTGTTTACCACCAAAAATGATCTTGATTTAATTGTACAGCCTGCGATAGACAAAAATCTGTAATTGGCCTTAAAATTTACCTCAATTAAGTGCGCTTCTAATGAGACCAACTCGGCTCGGATAACTTTTGCTGTAACACACCTGAATAACTACGGATAATTGTACTCATTTAATTTGCCGGATTAAAATTTCCAAATTCGGTAGCCCAGAAATCGGCTAAGAAATCCTAAAATATCAATTTTCTCCTTGCTTTCCCATCCCGTGGGCTGTCAAATTCTACAAAAATAATATCTCTACAGGAACAATTAGAAACTATGTTCGGTAGCTGGTTTTCCTTATCGGCGGTTATACGGCTCTACAAATTATTTTTACCTTCTGTTTCTTACCCCTAGATGAAATAAATAAATCTTGAAGCTACGGTTTCTTACTAACAAACCGCTAAAGTTTAAATCACGTTTCGATGCCGCGCGTTCATGTACCGTGTAGTCATTAAAGCTGCTAGATCTCACAGCGGAAAATAGGTGCTTCGTTACAAGTTAAACGAGATTTTCGTTGGGGGTTATTTCAATTCCACGATTGGTATCTTGACTGATAATGTCATTTTTAGTTGTCTATAGCTTTGGTTTGAGTGCTTCTTTTCCCCACGATCGGTCAATCAGCCGATCTAGTGCTGTCAACACATTGGTTTCTAAGGCTTAGCTTCGGAATAGCTGCTCTTACCATATTTGGCTTGGTTTTTCTACAGACTCGCGCGACGTGTCCTAAAGTTATACTCTAAAAAGGTAGTTTTTATTTCAAAACGTCTGTTACTTTCTGGACAACCCTCGTATTTTCAAAACCACTACCCAGGGTAAAGTCGCTTAGTTCAATTTTGTGTTATAGTTTGCTACATGTATAACAAACCCGCCGCATAAAATAAGAACTTGAGCTCTTCCACAACGGTAGTTTGTTCTGGGCATATGATCTAAACTTCGTTGCACCTACCAATGGGGTTGAGCGCCACTCAATTTCTATCATAACTCTCCTCGTATGAAATTGAGAAGATACGAGGGCCGTAATAACAGTACAAATCAATTTAGGCACCAAAAGAAATACGAATTTAATGTCAATATTAAATTGCAAAATAAAAATTGTCTCCCCACTCAAATAGCGTATCACACAAATATTCAAAATCTAGTTCAAAATTATAAGTTACGTTACTCACCACTCACTCTTATTAAATTCACTTGAAATTTCCCCAATCAAGAATGATCGATCACCAAACCAATTACTGAATCATAAAACAACGTTTCACAAATAAATTGACAAAAATTCGCACGTATAGGGTAAAGTACAAGTAAAACATATAACGCATAAAGTTAAACGTTGACACCAAGAAATGAGCTCAGTTCTGGCATCCCAAACCTGAAATCAATCAAAAGAAAACCTCTCAAGCCGCGGGGCTCTGTATGTAGTTAACTGAATAATGCCTGAAAGGCCTCGCTCTACTCGCAATCTGCTTCTATACCTGGTACGGTACTTAAATGGTCAACCTCTTCCGGGGGAAGTGATGGTCTCCAACAACATACGCGTTTCAAACTCGATCAGAACAAGACCGAGATGGTAAAGATACTAGACAGGTACTGAAGTTAACAAATTGCTTGAATGTGATAGCATATAACTTTGAAGGGGTTAAAATAGTTGTGAATTAATACGCTAAAGTGTTACTGAAGTTGTTCCTTTGTTGAGGATCGAATATTGGTATTAAATCTCCTTCGTGACTTGACCGATTTCCAAAATTCTAAAATGACCGCTTCTTATCAGCAGGTGGAAAGATATGTCAAAGGTGTCGGTACTCGCAGGTATCGTGAATTTAATCCAAGGTTACCAAACTCGTATGTCCTTAAACTGGTTCCAATCATTTAAAATTCTAAAAGAAATCAAAGGTAATCCCTCTCTTTGATAACATAAAAATTTGCCTCTTAAATAAGAGGCCTAATCATAGATGAAACAGCAATTGTCGGTACATAAATACCATCAGAAACCTAAAGAAAGGTACACTCTAAGAACACGAAATGCAAATGGCAATAAAACGAAAGAACGCAAATTATATCCTCACTATACGAGTTATGTAGGTGAAATCCGTACAATAATACTTCGGATTCCCCAAATTATGAACCCAATCGCTAAAGATCAATACATATGAATAATGACGATTAAAATTCCATGCGTTCTAACTCAGGCTTCAGCTGTTTGTTTAAACGAAGTGTAACTGGATACGGTTCACGGCAAAAAGAAAGATGGGAATCGACACACACTACTCAAGGCAAGAAAATGTGTCGTCAAATGTCAAATTCTGTTCTCTGGTAGATTGTGCTTAAATGACCTACTAGCATCTCTCGAAGGGTCGCCTAAAAATACAATTCCTTCAAATTTTGATATTACGAAATTTTTTTGAAAACTCCCTTTTACCTGTCTCAATTGTGGAGGTTGTAACTTTCAGATATTTCAAATATTTTTGTTAGTACTTTTATAAGTACATTGTGTTTAAATTCAAATGTTATCGTATGCTTCATCGTTCCCAAATAGGAATACTCAATGCAAAATTATTTTGAAAGTCTTTTTATTTTATGGATTATCTAACGCCATATAATTTCCTTTGCCGATCATGTAAACAAAAATTATTTTAATTAGTTGGTAACAATGGCAGAAAAACAGTACTCGTTATTACATAAATCGTTTTTGATTGCTCATACTCATTTAATAGGAGCATTTTGAGTGACCTCTCATCAATGCTGCAATACACGCACGCCGGAGTTTGCGTAGCACGGAGCCTGTCAACTGAAGGATTTTATCGCTATACTTAAAACCACTTGTATTTACTTCGAAGAATTCTTAATAACGGCACAAATGTAAAATATAATAAAAGTATAAGCAAAAGAACTGTATTGTGTAAAAGAAGCACGTATGTTTCATTTGAAAAGTGTAAAACTGTCATTTGAAAGAAAAGTTACGTTGAGGCAAAACATCTGTGTAGTACTAAATTATACAATCCACTCCGATTTGTCTCTGGTATACATATACACCACGTCTATTCTACTAAACGCAAGTTCACAGGTTTCTATCACTCACAGGAATGCAATTCAAAAAAATGTATTATAAACGAGTTTCCTCTTACAATATTTTTCCGTTGTGTATTAAATATATTGGTTTTCTTTGCTCAAATACCTCGTTGAGCATATAAACAAACTTCCATATCTTGAAAGGTTTTAACAATTTGTGTACCTTCGAATTTAGTGAAATATTAGTGATGTAGTCACATATTAGTACACCCTCTAATTAAAACAATCCGTTTATAATCATCACGTAGATAAATTACGTGTAATTTATATAAATGGGAGAACGTTTCCGCAGCCAGATTGTAATTAAAGTAGAGGTGTAATGGGTTATTGATGATTACGAAAAATTTTAATAACAATATTTATTTCAATAACATTCTAACCGTGCTTTTCAATAGCTGCTAGTTCTCTCGTTGTAGCTTTTCGTAGCAGACCTTAGCTCGCCTTTAAATCTTATATCCATTGACTTCTACTCAATTACTTTAGAGCTTTAGAAAAATCTCATTAACGAACACAGCGGGTTTAATTTGAATTTGTAGCTCGAATATTGTGCACCTTTCCGTGCAACTGTAATCAACATTCAATACAAAAAAGTAACTTCCTGTGGTGCAATAATAAATTTAGTAATTTCCATTTCCACTTCAGTCGATAAACCAAAATTTAAATAACCTTTTTCTAGTTCCTACTTGGGCTACCGGATCCGGAGGATGTTTGCTCACGGAATTACCCTCCTTAACCGTATTGTATGTCCCTGAACAGACGGCTTTGGAACTGACGTCGGACTGTGGATTAGATGGAACAAAACGAATTTCTTGTAAAGGAAACGCGGTACGTGTAAATTTTTTTACTTTTCTATTGCACATTAAACATGGCATGTGCTGATGTTAGCCCAAAAGTTGGCTAACCCATTTCATTACAGGATCGAGATGATATGGTGAAACAGTTGTCCTGCAGCATCTCAAATGATGACTTCGACGATAAAACGACAAAGGGCGCAATCCCTGCCAGTACATTGGCAGATATAACTAATCCATCAGATTCTGTAAATACGAAAACAACTAAACCTTGGATTTGGACTTCCAATACAATAGATACGGGAGATTACGGGGCGGCTACACGACATCGACGCGAAACTGAAAACACCCTTAGTCCAATTTCACCAACACAAGGGACTACCGATTTAACAATGCGAGAAAAAGTGCGCACGACTCAAGAAACATTAACTCAACCTTCTACCTTCCAAAAACCAATTAATCTTGTCTCAAACGGGGTTACGGTTAACACAGTGAATGATGTTACTCTTGATTTAAGCATTACCCCGGAATCTTATAAATACGCGCAGATTACGGTGACATCAGTTCATGAATTAACGACACAAGAGAACAGCAGTCAACCGGAAGAGCAAGCAGAAACTTTTGTATTAGCAACAACAACCGCAGAATCCAAAGCTAAAGAAACGCCACAAGAAGACGCGGTAGAGTATCCGGCTGTTATAAATCAAGGGCAATTGTTCAGTATTATGGAAAACGGTACAATTATTGACGTAATTGAATTAAATGAAACGGGTACGGAGGAAACGGGATTAAACAAAGAAACGTCGGCCTCAGTGCCCCAGGAAAATAAGAAGCCCGCCACATTTTCCACGACTGCTTTACCCCAAACGATCAAAAATTTGTATACAACTGTCATATACCATAAAGAGCCGCCCGAAGACTTAACGATTAAGAAAGACGCACAAGACGACGTAAAACAACCAAAGCAAGACGTCACCCCAACCTTCCGAATATTCGACTCTAAATCTGCGATAAACGAAAAACACAAACCGAAAACACTGAACGATTTGGAATCACAAAACGACAAAGACCTAACGAGGGAAGTGGAAATGTTTCACATTATATCCGACCCCTCGATAAAATTAAACAGAACGTACCGTAAGAAATTGCCTTTATTCGAACGTACTAATATAACAAAAGAAATTGACAACATTCTGATTAAACCCGACGAAGTTTTACCAATAGGGCAAGAAAGCGCCCCTTCCAATAACGACGACTTCATTATAGCCGACGAAAATTCAGCTCACAAAGTTGTGGAAATTAAACTACACAAGGAGGGCAACAAAAACTCTACCCGTTCAAAATTATTCATAACTACCCGAATTTCCGATAGAAGTAAAAGGGTCGATAAGGACGTACGGTTTCTCAACGGTAGCAAACTTAATACCCCCGAAAGTAAAACGGCCGACGGCTCCTCGCGGAATAGCTCAAATGATGCGTTTAACACAACAAATGTTGAGACCGAGGTTAAAGACGTTGAAATTGATTCTAGAATTAACGAGTTTAACGTAATCAACATTACGAGCAGAATCAACAGTAGCGAGTTTGTTTTGCCGATGGCCGCTATCGAAAAACAAGCTCAGGGTGATCGTTTGGACAGAGAGCAAATCGTACAGAAGACAATTTCAAATAACCCCGTAGATGTTACTGATGATCTTGTGGTAGAAGAACCGCTGGACACCTTCAGCACGATAAACAGTGTGACGGGAGAAACTGTGGCGCCAATTCCGCAGCAACAACCACGACCAAATAGACAGAGAAGTTTAACTAAACCTCAAAGGAGATCTTTTTACCCTTACTTTTTTAGTCGAGTTTTAGGCTAAATTTTTATATGATGCTGAAATGTTTGACTTGTAGTAGATGTCTTTATTGTACTGTGTCGATCTCTAAAGGGAAAAATCAGTAACCCTAACCATGACTTTTACACTTCACCTGGCGATCTTGGAATATAGCACACAGAAATAAACAACTAATCTACACGTTTACCTCCCTCCCCCCTCCCCCCAAACACTACAATCGTCATTTCAGATATTAACATTTTGAAAGTAGTAATAAAGCGCGTGTTTAAATGCTTTAAGAAGACGAATAATAAGAATAATCCCATTCTGATCAAATAACAATGGTAGATACTACATTATTGAATTGGTCTCAATTTTTAAGTTATTGATAAATATATCTATTGTTAAATTTACAACGAATTTTAATTGCAACATTGTTTAGCAATTGCGTTTACGAGCGATAAACATTTTCTAACGCTTAAGGAAAATGATTTATTGCTTGTACAACATAATAATGAACGTATAATTAGTATTAAGCATGTTTTACTATTACGTAACTAAAAATAGTCTAGTTAGTTGTTATATCATACATATTAATTATCTACCTACGTTGAAATAGGTTGGAAATTTAGATGGATCCCTAATCAACAGTTCTACTATGTAGACAGTACAGTGTACCTGTACTGAATAGAAAGAAAATGAGGCAAAAGTTCGGTCAAAAAAGCAAAAGTACTTAATAGATTATTTATTGTTAGTGTAGTATAGTATTAGTCGATACTGTATCCAAGTATGTCGCAATTTGTTTCTTAATTATCTACCTATATCGAATTAGGGCATTCTTTAAAAAAACAACTGTAGATTGTAGGGAAGGCCAAAATAATTTTATACTATAAATTTAATACCTAAAAAGTGTTTGATATATTAATGTTAATCGTTTACTGTCAAGTATTATTATTAATAATTTTGATACGATTACGCAACTGCACGATGCACCGTCCCAGCTTCCCGTCCCGATGTTTTTACATTCGATGTCATGTACTACGCAACTGTGTACCTAAATGTTTTAGACATTTCAGTTCAATTGATCATTTATACAATCACCCACATTGCACACTTTTGTTAGTACCTATTGTGATTAATTCCTAATGATTATTGTAAATAATGTGTTGATCTTTGGTCAATAAAATTACTAAATATGGTTTTGTATTATTCTCATACAAAATGCTGCAAGGGTAATTAATTGCTTTTTAATTCCTGCCCCAACAATGTGCGTCAATATGGCTGTTAGTCGCTTTTCAATTCTTTCGTTTGTTGTACCATTGTATATACATCTTGTTGTATTTAGAGCCTCAGCTAGCTTTTGTTAAAATTTGTCGCCTCAAGGAGCAAAGGAAAAAAAATAAAACTATATTTATTTATTACCGAAACGGTTCTCTGGAAGAGAAATACAAGTTAGTAAATGGGAATGAGGCACACGAAATCGATAAACGAAAGACATTCGTTCAACCTTCTAATAAATGCAATTATTAACCATTGCTTGGAAATGAACATTTATTCTTTTATCATCAAACAGCAAATTTTTATAAAAATCGAACGAATAAACAATATTTTTATAGAAAACTTGTACTATGTACAGTTACAAGTAAATGGCAAAATGCGGATGCGGATCCAAACAGTGAATAGGTTTCCATGCAGAAGTTAAAAAATGACACCGAATCAGCTAAAATGCATAAGATGTTAGATTTAAAAAAACCGCTGTGTATTGACACCGTAAGAATGGGACACCCTGTACATTCAAAAATAAGTTCTGTAGATGCCCAACCATCTAGTTGACATTTGCATAAAAGTTTGTTTGATATTTTTACCAGGTATTTGGTTACCCGCACCATTGTATATACATCTTGCACTAAATAAGAAAGGAACAGACCCAGCGAAGAATTGGAATGGTAGGTATATTTATTATGTGCTTTTTCAACAGTATAAACGGTTAATAGAATCACACAGGGAAATATACACTAGATAATCTCCTGTCACATGAATACCTACATACATACGTATTTATTAAAATAATTTAAAGCCATGTCCATATAACCACCTGTACATTAATAGCCAAACGATACACACACAAAAACAATAGCTTGGAGCACGCCATGCTTTTAAGAAATAGATAATGCAAAACGTATATAAACTGCAGCAATATAGACAACGAGCGACAAAATCACTTCCAGTTTGACCAATATAGCGGGCCTTTTTATAAAATAAATTGAATGAATATTGACTAAAATTTAATCAATTAGTCCCTTGACCATTGGTCTATCTATTGCTAAAAACAGAATTGAAAAATTTGAAACCGTTAAGTAGTGCGAGTTATCGTGTCAACAGACGGAGGGATGGACGGACAGAAGTCCAAAATCATAAACTCGCCTTTTGTCGCTCGTTAATAATATCGAATTCTCAATTAGAGAATCTAAGATGTACGAGAAATAGAAACAAAAACAAACAAAATACAAAAATTGACAAACTCGGTACGCGTACACATATTACTCGCAGGCCATAAAAAATCAGTAACCACAAATCACACACGCCACTTCATCCTCAGTCCCCTAATTTTTTTACTGCGTTTACGTGAGCCTATTTTGTTACTGTGCAACAAAACTGGATCATTTAAACTTAAGAGTATTTATTTAAAAAAAAATAACCTTAAAGACCAGTGTTTATTTCAAAGAAAAACAAGATTGAAGATATCAATGTGTCCGAAAATATAATTCTTAAAACTAGGTTTTACCAATTTTTGTAATTTTGCCTACTGTAGCGTGTGTCTCAAGGTAGCGACGAAGAAACGTCGAAACAAAGACGACAATGCGCGACGCCGTGCGGCCCATCCGATCCCCCGCGAGCATTGTATAGATACTAATTTCAACGATGCAGCGAGAAAACTTACCTTTCAATGTTGCCATTGTAGATAGTGTATAGTTGGTTGTCTAAGCGGCAGTAAGCCATTTTTGGCGATGATCGTACCCTTTGGTGCTATTGATCCTTGCTGCAAAAGGTGCTGCCTAACCGGAAGGGTGGTGACACACTACTATGTTTCAAAATTATAGGCCGATATCATTACTTCCCATTTTTTCAAAAATTTTTGAAAAGATCTTAAAAAATCGCATACTGAATTATTTTGAGGTCAATAATATTTTTAATAATGCACAATACGGTTTTAGATCAAAAAAGTCAACGACGGACGCCCTTGTAGATCTATCTAGTACAATCTTAAATACATTTAATGAAAATAATTATACAACAGCAACTTTTCTAGATTTAAGCAAAGCTTTTGATTGTGTAAATCATCAGATCTTGTTAAATAAGTTGAAAGCATATAATTTTGATGAAATTTCCATTAAACTCATGCAATCATATCTCGAAGAACGTTCTCAAACTGTTAGATATAACGGTTTATTCTCAAAAGAAATATGTGTACAGTCTGGTGTTCCACAAGGTTCCATTTTAGGGCCTGTGCTTTTCTTAATTTATATAAATGACTTGCCTTCTACAGTTAATGGTCATTTCATATTATATGCCGATGACACTACAATACTAAGCTCTGGTTCTAGTCTAGAAATAACAAATATAAGAAGTATAGATCTTCAAGGGCAGTCCAAGTCTTGGTTCCACTTGAACAAGTTGCCTCTAAATGAAGACAAAACAGAAGTTTTAACTTTTACGATGAGAAGGGACACTGATGTAATTAACCAAACGCCGGTGAAATTTCTAGGCGTCTATCTGGACTCCACACTTTCATGGACACGCCATATTGACGAGCTCTCCTCAAAACTGAACAGAACTGTGTTCTTACTCCGTAATTTAACAAACCATGTTTTTCCGGAAGTTACGCGCACTGCGTACTTCGGATTATTCCATGCCATAATGAATTATGGTATTTTAATATGGGGTCACTGCTCCTCTGTATCTAGAATCTTTAAAATACAAAGAAGAGTGGTTAGAATATTGGCTAACCTAGACTATCAATCTGATTGCAGGCAAGCCTTCACAGATTTGGAAATATTAACCTTACCCTCACTTTACATATATGTACCTATACCTGTATGATTTGTATGAAAAGTAATTGCCAAAAATTTAAATGCCACTCGGACTTTCACAATTATGATACGCGAAATATGCATAATTACATACCTACTTATTTACGTCTTAATAAAAGTCAGTACGGCCCTAATTTTTTAGCCATAAAATTTTTTAATATGTTGCCCACCACTCTCAAACATTGCAATGAAATGGAGTTTAAATCTAAAATTAAATCAGATCTAATAAAAAAGGCTTTCTATTCACTAGAAGAATTTTTGACGAATAAATGTTGTGATATAATGGAATAGTTTGTATAATTATTATGTTTGTTTGTAATTTATTATATTCATTTGTCTCTTACATTGCATACTTAAAATGACTTGTGTAAACACCATGTGTAAAACATCAATAAATATTACATTATTATTACTAATTTTCAGCGCTTTCCCAGAGATAAAAAATTATTATTTATTACGCAACCCGGCAACCAAGACCAAAAGCGAGAGGTTGCTGACAAAATGCGTTGTTGACAAGTTTTAATAGGACTGGCCCTGATAACCGCAGAGCTAGTACCAGGGTGGTTGAGATATCATCCATGATTTTAATTGACCGTCTTATGCCTACTCCTGTTAATTGCCTTATTGCCAACCAGTGCAGAGTAAGTATTTAATAGTAATTGTGACATAATCACATAAATAACTTGAATATGAGATACTTTGGGACATTTTTTAACTGCCATTGTTTTTGTCTTTGTTGCTCCAGTTTAAAATTTCATGTTGTTCTTATTTCATCGTACATGTACCTAATTATTTTCTGTTGATCAATAATAGTATATTACAACGGTGGCCAAAGTGCGGCTCGCGAGCCGCATGCGACTCTTTTAAGTCTGTATTGCGGCTCACTCACAAAACAATTGGAATTCGCCATTGCTTTTCTATGAAATCCATTAGAAGTTGGTGTACCTAATTAACAACAGTTTTTCAAAACACAAAAACACACCATCTACAGTTCCTGTATAATGCTAAAAAACATGAAGTCATCCCCAATTTCATAAAAATCAACCTACTGAAACAGTTTTCCACTTTCAAAAAACATAGAGCTCGTGGATCTGGAGTTAATAGTCGATGTGTGGATCAGGTTATGATGTTGAAGCGTTGTACTCGACTATAAATTGTATTAAAACGGTCGTTGTTAAACCCAGACCCCTCCCCGCCCTCTCCTCATTCATGGGAAGTGTGGCTCTCGCAAATTTCATACAAAAAGAAATGTTGTAAAAAGTTTCGCCACCCCTGGTATACATTATATACCAAGGTAGAGAAGTCTAGTATCATTGCCTGAGCACCAAGGAGGCAATACCAATTATGATCATGGATATGAAAAAAAATAATAATAGACTTCCCTACCGTGGTATACAGGCCATTTTCACGCAAACAATTACCTACAAGTATTCAGACTTTCATTAATAGTTTAAATCTCAAAATTTGCATACCATTAGTTTTTCTTGATCTATCGAAAGAAAACATTATCACGATCGTTTCACTTCTGGTTCGACTGGGTGTCCTATTTTAAATAGAACATCCTGTATTTTATTGCTTTTTTGAAATCTACATGAAAATCTCCGTCGTTTATGATACCACATTTCCCTATACCCAGCATCAAAAAGGTTACTGTACTGAGTTATTGGATGCTGCGTGAGAATGATTTAAATTTTGATCGCCCTTCTACAGGGTGTTTTAAAAGTAATGGTCAACTTTAATAACTTCAAACCTTAAAAAGCTGATTTTTTCAAATGAAACATGCTTTATTTTTCTGGACTTTCGAATGTTGAAAAAAATTCGACATCGATCACGTATTACCTATATTCCCTATACCTATCTGTTATGGTTTCCGTTTTATTGAAGATTTTCTAAAATTGTGATCGATATTATGCGTAATTTTCTTAGGAGATCTTTACAATGAAAAAAAGGATAATAATCATAACATTTTAGCGTAGTAGTGAAAAAACATCGCATGTTGTACCAGAGTAAAAAGTTAAATAAATTATTTACTCGCAATGACCTACCTAAATAAAGTTCAATTGGCATGGTTCTGCTCCAGCATCGGCTGGATGGATGGAACATGAAAGGAGGGCAGGTAGGTATGCAGTAGGATTATCATCCATCGAAAATGTCAGTTCTACATCCATGAGTTAGAAGCAAACAAAATTAGGTTCATTCCCCACAGAATAAATGTTTAATTGAATCGCACAGAGCAATCCATACTACATAATCTCCTTTCCCCTGAACACTTAAAATATTTAATTCCCACCAATCACACATAACCTCAAAACGCACACACACAGCACCGCATCTCGATATAAATCATCCCTTGAACTTCTTATACTATACTCTATCATAAATGTCTATGTATTTTTAATCTTTGACGGTAAGGTCTGATGAAGGATGTATTTGTCCGAAATCGATTACCTAGAGAAAAATGTTAAATTATAAGATTTTCTACGCCAACAGCCTTTTAATTAAATAATTTAAAACCAGTATGCGCACACCTGCTTTTCAACAAGGCGAAAACGATAAAAATTATGATTGTGATTCAAAAACAGTTGAAGCCACCACAGATTTTTTTGCGAGAAACTTACTCTCCCTTCGTTTTGAAATGCGCGCGATCGTGATTTTCGTAAGAAAACTCCATAAGCCTCGACCAGCAGAGCAGAGACTAGGCTTTCCACCTCTTTCTTACATTGCAACAAAATTGTTTCAGAATTTAACGAGTAGCTTGTACACTTCTCTTTACCTTACACCATGCAGTGTATACAGTCAGTAGGTACTTACAGTTTTGCTAACCAAACAAATTACACAGATTTTACTTGTAAGTTTATTACCACTTTTCTGTTACAATAAAAAGTAAGTTTTGGAAGAATGGTTTTTCTACATCGATAAAAAAACAAAAGGTATACCAGAAATTTACATCCACGACGTTACAATAAACATTAGATATAAATATTAAATAAGCCCCACTGCCTATGAGATTCCTCGATTTCTGAATTTAACAAGGGAATGTGTCAACTTAAAATTCTATAATAAACACACTAAAACAGACATTATTTACATTACAATACTAACAAATGACATTATTACACCATCAGAGCTGGGCACCCACTAATCAGTCTGAAACTCTTTCAAGTGGCATTAAACATTTTGTTTTCACTTAACACAGAATGTAAACACTCGTAAAATAAATAGGTATAAATTATGATACACTCCTTGGATGAATGAATTTATTACACTAGAATTCATTTACAATAAAAGGACATTGAATTATTGAATAATCAATTCACCATTTAAAATTTCAAGTATCATTTTTCGGCGTAAATACGGCATATTCTCTTGACTAAAGTTAAGTCCGGCTTTTCGTGTGAGAAATTCTGCATATGTGCAGGAAAACACACCACAATCACTGCCGTTCATTTGTTGCGGAATATCGCTCACATTTTCCAAGACCCAGTCGTTAACGTCATATTCCTCACCTTTCTTATCTAAATGCTCGGCTTTGAGATACTTGCGCAAAGCGTGAAGGCATCGATTATTGGGATTTCCCATACTATCATAATATTGTATGGTGCGATTTTCAAAATTGATTATACTCATACACCAATGCATACCTAAGTGAATCGGAACTGCAATAATATCATAGGAAAAGATATCAACACGTCGAGTCCAACGTTTCAGCGAAGCGTGCCCGTCCTTTAATAATTTTGGGTAAAAAAATGTATTCATAGCGTACACTTTCGGCCATTTATCGATCTTTCCGCGTTCTATCAGTAAATTCATGTAAAAGTTTATCACCTCATCGTTTAACCAATTCAATCCGTCCAAGGTTTGAATGTCGGCGCGCGTAATGTTCAAATTGAATTTTTGGACAAGTACTTCGGTCGGACTTGTGCGTTTGGTCTTGAGAGCGTGATCTATTCGGCATTCGTCCTCTTCCGACAGTTCCGGGAACGCCTCCTCGACGAACCGCTCCGGCAAGACGATCTCCTTAATCTTAAGGCATCTTAGCATTTGGTCCTCGAGTCGTTGTTGATTTATTTCCGATGTCACTTCGGCAATTTTGTTTGTCTGAGTGATTTGGTTTTGGACCCTTTGCTGCAATCTGGCCACGTCGGCCTTGTGTCTTTGAACCCTGCAATATTAATTTTGCAACGAAACATAATACTACTTAATTGGAGAAGAGATTGGGGAGTGAGGATCAATCATACTCGTTTTTAGGAATCTCATTTCATTCTGAATAACACTCAAGAGTTTTTCTTCTCCTCCAAGTATAGGGTGAGTTAAGGATTGCGCGGAGTAACTTAATGCCTTGAAGATAAGATTTTTCGATAGTGCTTTTGTATTATGATATGATTGAGTATTCTCCACATTTTAAAAATATTCGGAATTATACAGGGTGCGCCGCCCAAATGGTACATTGTATTAAATAGAACCCCCTGTATTTGAATGCATTTTTGAATTTACGTGTATTGTACGTCTTTTTTATTATATGGTTAATATCCGAAAAGCTAGTAGTTTTAAAGATATTTCGATTTTTAAGAAAAATTGGGCATTTACAAGCATCAGTATATTGTCAAAATTATTACTTAAATTTTGATTCCAGGTTTTATATCTTTTATCCTGGGTTAAGTAAAAGTCAAATAAATACATCTACTATAAAACATAAAAAAATAGCTTACAGGGTGTTTTTTCCTAGATCCAAAGTTACAAAACTTTATATTAAAAAATCTAAATTACATATAACTTATTTAAGATTAGAATATAAAACCCAGGAAAACCAAGATATTTCGAAAACTATCAGAGATAGGTATAGGACATTATTATCAAAAGTTGAAGGTTTTTGGAGGAGCTAAAAGATGACAGAAAANATTCACATGTTCTTTGTAACAAGAATTATAAAAGAAGCCCTTTTTTGGAGGTTTGAGAATTTTTTGGACTGTAATTTTTTGCCCCCTTAGTCTACGTAGCTGAAAAACAATAGCGACGTTTCTTTATATCCTTAAGAACAGTTGTTTCAAAGCGATCGGACTTTTCTGTACAACATTATTCAGTTATGAGTTTACGTGCACACGGACAGACGAACAGACAGATGGACAGACAGACAGCAATACAAAATTATAAACAATCTCGAGGATCGTTACTAATTAGAAATACAACTGAAAATGAACTAATTCGTGTATCATTAGATAAAGAAAAATTTTGTGCCCGTGTATAGGTAATACGAGTATAATTTAAAGACTATTAGCAGAGCAGTGCAGCAGCGGCGCTCGGATAATCGTACCTTCCAGCGTGTCTACCGAGACCTTAGCAACATCACGCGATTGGTAGACCATTTTTTTTGGTTTCTTATGACATCAACTTTTTCCAACAAAAATGTCATCTTTGTAGAAATAGGTTGAATCGAATAATTTTTTATGCATCTTGCGTGGGTGGTAGACTTGTGATAGCAACGCTTCCAGCTTGGTAGACTATTACCACACTTCATTTTTAGGTATACTTAATTACTGTACAAACTTTCATTCTTGTAGAAATGATGCATGTACATAGTATTTATTAACATGTTCAGAACATTGTTGCAAATTTAGGCAATACTGCCGACGCGGTAGACTACCGTTTTGTTTACTTGTAATATCAAAACAATAAAATGGCAGAATATCAGCTTTGTAGAAATGAGTGCACAAAAAATGTCGCTGCCCCCTGGACTATAAGTCAACTTGCAAATTTATCACGCAAGTTTTCGGCAAGTTGCTGTCTGAAAGCACTGTCGAGTAACAATGTCACTCATGCTCGAACATTCAGAACCGATCTGAATTTGTGAAAAAACTTCCTCGGAGGCCGAAAAAGTAGATTATATTGTCTTTTTAATGACGGTAAAGAGAGAGGGAGAGCTGTTAGGTAGGTGCTCATCGAAAATCGACGCTTCAAGTAACCTTAATAGGTAATCAGAAATAAATTGCTTTTCGTAATAAACTTACTGTAAATTGAACTTGATCGCTATTATCAATGCAAAGTGCATCTACACTTAAGCATTTCACTAATTACAGTGGCGATGAGATGAGGTCGTTACTTAATAGGATTACGGGCGTTGCGTGCATGATGCAAGTACAAATTGGCATCCCATTTACTTCGATATACTGAATTTTGATTGCAAGTGCTTTCTATATTTAAATATAAACGTTGATTCTCGATTTTTCTCCAAGTACAATAGGCATTTCTTTAGATAGTGGCGGCACATCTGTACTCGAAAACTTTTAGTTAAAATCAGTCGAGCTTGAACCTCTTATTCGTAAAGCTTAAATGTCGCCTGAAAGAGGAATTGAAACTTTCATAAAAGACCTCAATTAGCTATTCTGTCCGTTTTCGCTTCACAATGTCATCAAAAGCATAAATTTAATTATATTACAGTATTCTTTATTCTGATATTCCGTATGCTTTGTTTAGTACAATACTATCATTTTATATTGTAACGTTTATTTATTTTCACAAAACTATTATTAAACTTAGTACATTGGTATTAATATGCACGCGACTTCCGTGATAGGACAGGTGGGCTTGATAGGTGAACCCGTGAACCTGTAGGTGTGTATTTAAGGTAAGTATTTCTTTGCCGTCGATACCGTTGTTGATCGGTTAGAGTTCTACGTAAATATGATCCCCCGTAACTATATGAAGTACTAGTTTAGATGTAGTTATTCTTGTATTAGATTTCTTATTACCTTCGTTCTTTATTTGCGCGGTATAGATTTCTTATTACCTATAGATCTTTCTTTGTTAGAGGTTTCTTTTACTTACTTCTTTATCTTTGTTTAGAGTACACACTTTGTATTGTACCTTAGACCATATAGTACATGGATAGACTACTATAATGTACTAAAATATGGTCAAGGACATTCACTGGGTATGTGAGTTTCAGGGTAAACGAGTTTGTCCGAAATTGTCCGAATAGGCACGATATGAGACTATCAACCTATAAATTAACAAACGTTAATTAATTAATCGTCTAGATATGGCAAAAAAAGCAAACCTATTTTTATTTGTGGACGTATAGACGATACTCAAGAGTATTTAAAGCTTCCCGTACTACGCGGTTACTATAAAAGCTACTATTTATGCGATCCGAGTGGTGTTTACACGACTTTAGTTTACCCTGAGATTCACATACCCACGACAGTGCCCTCTATCCGTGACCACCCATTTTGTATTGAAAGCATAGGGCTATATAATAACAGTCCATGTACTATATGCTCTAAGCTTTGTACCCTTCTGCACTTAATTCTTTCCCCTCTTTTCTCCATGCTTGCGCGCAGTTGTAGTTCACTTCCTCTTCAATGAAGTTTCTGTTCTCGCATTGCTTAGATGTAAATGTCCCTTGGTACGCCATTACTTTTCTTATTTCGCTGGCTTTACCATAATTACCTATCTTTGGAGTGGTTTCTCTTTCTTTTTGATGCCTGTGGCTGTGGCTCCATTGAAACGTTTTTACGGATCTGTTTGGCATTTAAACACTACGAGGGCTCTTGCCTTTGCTCAAAATTCAAGCTCTCCTCCTCGTTTTCTATTAAGCTCTTATCGTTATTTCTTTTGGATTACCTTTTACGTTTGACCTGCTTGGATATTACGCATTACCCACGCAGTACGTGGATGTTATCTACCAACATTACTACCGACTTCGCTCCGTTATACCTTATTTCATTTATACGTTATTCATTTCTATTAGTTTGTTTGCATTGTATTTATTTATTTATTGTCCCTTTCTTGTTCTGGGCCCTCAACAGGCTTTCGCCCAATTACAGAGTGACCCGCATAAGGTTTATTAGAGGTGCCCCTGCAGATGGTCTAAGTTGTTCTATACTACTCCAGTATTTACCTTACGAATTAGGAAAACTGCAGGAAAACCTAATTCGGAGTAGCCGGCAGAATGCTCGAAACTGTTCTAAGGAAATTCCCATCTCTGCCACAGATGAAAAATTCCCCTCAACCCAGGTTCGAACACCTGACCTCCCGGCTATGTAGCTCAACGTCACACAGACGGATCCTTCAGATACCGATATTAGTACCTACCGTCGCTTTGAGAATTAGTTTTTGAAGTAACCGAGGCTTTGTCAGTTTTTATAATGTATCCTCGTACCCTTCCGGCATCTGCTACAAAAAAATTCCGATATTGATCTAAATTAAAGTTTGAAAACACTTAACGATCAACTTCCGAAAATGCAAAGATTTTACTGCGCAAGTTTTAATAAACACCTGAAATAAATCTTCGATACGAAAAGAAAACCCTGACATAAACACTCTATCAGGAACGCACAATGGGTTCGAACAACACACAGAATTAATTAATTGATTGACTAGAATAAAAATTTATGCCGAAACACATTAAATGAAAAAAATAAAAGAAATTTTCCGGAAGAAAGAGAAGCTTACAAAGTTTCTTTAAATAAATTACCAAGCACGCTAGCGTTCAATAAATAAAAATTAAAAAAACCTTAAAATTACTTACAGTTTTTTCTCTTTTAAATATTCCAAATAATCTGGTTTGCGACTTCACACGCACTTATTATAAACCCACAAAAACACTCGGTGACAGCTTCAGCGAACTTTGGCACTGGACTTCGACTCCCACTCGTTCTAACTTTTTCTGAATACGGACAAACCGTTTAAGAAACACTTTCAACAAGCTTTTACAACTTCACGGCAATATTGACAAGAGTAGACAAAGGCCAGTGTAAAATAAAATAAGTCCTCTTCTTTCTTTTTTTTAGCGCATTTTCCAATGAAGTTGGGTGCGCTATTGCAGCCACTTTCTCTGTCCGTCTGTCTGTCCGAGGCCTTAACCACTCCTACAAGTTCGTTCTGTTTGAATTCGGTAGCGTATAGCTCTAGCACCTGAGCCAAGAAAAATGTTGACAATTAAACTGCGCAAATTTAACTTCCTTAACCATAGATGCTTCTAAAACATATCGCACATAGTAAAAATCAAATCCCACGCATGGGCAGACTGCAAAATGCCATCTTTTTATTATCTTATGAAGATCTCTATCTAAAGTTTAACCATAAAACGCTTCTAGTAAAAACAAACATCGCATACATATACCATAAATTAAATGTGCTCATGCGCGAATTGCGCAACGCCAACTTTTTTGTTTATTTAAACCATATATGCCTCTACCCCTCTAGTAAAGAAAATCACAGCGCACATATGGCAACATGGCACATGGAAAATGCGCTGAAGTTACTCGCCTTAGGGCGAAAACCTTTTTACTTGTTT